TGTTTGGCGGGCCCGGGCTGGGGATTCGAACCCGCCACCTTAGGTGTATGTGGCTGGCGCCTTAGCTGCTTGAGCCACAGGCGCCGAGCCCAGGGCTGGGTTTGAACCTGCCACCTCCAGCATATGGGGCCGGCGCCCTACTCCTTTGAGCCACAGGCACCGCCCAAGGGCAGAGGACTTTTTTTTGCTCGGGCAATATAGGCCAAAGAGCTTAAGAGTCTGGACGAGGGGCATGTGTGTGCCTACACATTTCCAGACCAATGGTTTTCAGCCATGTCACTGCCACTCACCTCTGTGGAAGACCTGGGATCATGGTGATAGGGGCTATGCACCCTACAGGGCAGCGAGGCAAGCTAACACCCCAACGTGCTTATGTACAGGAGGATAAAAGGCCTTGAGGAACAACAGCTCTACACTCAGTGTGTTTCTTTCCCTTGCCTCCAGTCTCATGACAGCCTTTCTTCCCCATGTGGTCCTTAGATCTCCCAGTTCTGCTGGGGTTGGCAATGACCTGCCTCCCCAGGCCTGTGCAGATGATGGCTGGAAGTGTGGACAGCTGCTTCCCTTGCCAAGAAGAGGTGGGATGGGGGCTTAGCACCGGTAGTTCAGTGGTTAAGGCACCAGTCACATGCACCAGGGTGGGTGGGTTCAAACCAGCCTGGGTGTGCTAAACAAAAATGACAACTACGGGTGGTGCCTGTGGCTCAAAGGAGTAAGGCACTGGCCCCATATGCCGGAGGTGGCGGGTTCAAACCCAGCCCCGGCCAAAAACTGCAAAAAAAAAAAAAAAAAAAAAGACAACTACAATAAAAAAATAGCCAGGTATTGTGGCAGACTCCTGTAGTCCCAGCTACTTGGGAGGCTCTTAAACATTGTTAGGAAATACAACTTAAACATTGTTAGGAAATACAACACAAGCCAGGCGCAGTGGTTCACATCTCTAATCCTAGCACTCTGGGAGGCTGAGGCAGGTAGATTGCTTGAACTCATGAGTTCAAGACCAGCCTAAGCAACAGCGAGACCCCCATCTCTAAAAATAGCCAGACATTGTGGGTGCATGCCTGTAGTCCCAGCTACTTGGGAGGCTGAGTCAAATTCATCATTTGAGTCCAACAGGTTGAAGTTGCTGTGAGCTGTGATGCCCTAGCACTCTACCAAGGGTGACCTAGTGAGACTATGTCTCAAAAAAAAAGGGTGGAGGGGAATGGGGATGAGGTCCCAAACCTTCAGATTGGGAGCCTCCCCTAGGACTGTGGGCCTCAGGGCTGAGAAAAGAAGTCTGAGGTGGAGAATGGAGTCAGCTTGCTGTGTGACCCTGGGCAAGTCTGAAGACTTTCCTGGCCAGCAGCATCCCCCAGGGGATCAAGTATCTCCTAAAGCCCTTCAGTTCCTGGGCTATGGCTCTATCACCCCTCCCCTCCCCTAGCCCTAGCACTGCGCTCCATGTGATTTATAGCTCCTGTCACCTGGTGCACTCTCTATCCTGGAGCCAGCAGCCAGTGGCTCTTCCAGGGAAGCAGACTTGATGGCGGGCCTCATTTTGGGTGGTGGGTCACAGCTACAAGCAAGGAAGGGGAGGCTGGTGCACTTGGTCCTCCTGAAGTGGGCAATGCCAGGGCCACAGAGTTCACCCCAGGGGAAGGGGGAGAGAATCTCAGTCCTGGAACAACAGAACCAATGCTTCAGAACCCAGTTCTGTACACCAGCAAACCTCTCTCTAAAGACTTAGCCCCAGAAGACCCAAGAGCATGGAGCCCAGGAAGGGGGGTACCCCCATGATGGGAGTACCCTCCCAGGCCCTGGGATAGGAGCAGGAGTTGGTGGGGAGGAAAGGCAGGGCTGGGTCAGCCTCTTTGTTCTGAGCTGCCAGCAGAGTGATTCCTGGTATGACGGCGGGGAGCAGGCTCTCCCGGAGATCAGGTGACTGGGGTCCCTGGGGGCTCAGGGCACAGTGATGCATTGTGGGGCGGAGTGACTGCTCACCCTGCAGGAAGGAAGCCTGTAATCTGGTGTTGGGGAGAGGCAGGTCCACCAGCCTTGCCCCTGACCTGGCACCAAGCCCAGCCTCCCTGTTACTCGGGTCATGCTTAGGGCCTTAGGAGTCTGAACCTCAACCTGACCTTCAGAGCCAGCTGTGCTGGACAGTCCTGCAGAGAGACTTCCCTCTCTCCTGTTCAGACAGGAGCACAAGGGACATAAAGGCAAGAAAGTCAGCATGAAGGAACTCAGGATGAGGCCCTGGGTCCACAGCATCATCATTCCTATTCTATGACAGGTAGAGTTAAGCTAACCTATGAAATACCTCCTCTGCAAGAGAGAAAGCAGCAGAGGGTGGGTCTCATAAAGGGAGGAGTCAGGCTTGGCACCTGTAGCTCCAGTGGCTAAGGTGCCAGCCACATATACCAGAGCTGGTGGGTTCCAATCCAGCCTGGGCCTGCTAAACAACAATGACAGCTACAACCAAAAAAATGGCTAGGTGTTGTGGTGGGTGCCTGTAGTCCTAGCTACTTGGGAGGTTGAGGCAAGAGAATTGCTTGAGCCCAGGAGTTGGAGGTTGCTGTGATGCCTCAGCACTCTACCCAGGGTGATAGCTTGAGGCTCTGTCTCAAAAAAAGAAAAAAAAAAAGGCAGAGCCTAAGGACAGAGGACTGAGACTAAGGATGGAAGGTGGAGGAGCGTTAGGCCTGAGAATAGACCCTTGTACCAGAGGGCGGAGTGCTAGGCTGCTGCAGGAAACACTGGCAGGACCTTCTTCCCTCCACCTCCTCTAGCCCCACCTGAAACCAGTCCCTCCAGCCTAACCTCACAAACTTTGAGGGCTGTGAGAGAGGCAGCCTCCACCCCTCCCCACTCTCTCCACCAACCCCTTTCCTAGGGCAGGGGAGAGGGGCTGACTTGTGCTGGGCTGGTGCCGAAGCTTGCATGCCAGAGAGGGGCCCCTAGGCCATAGCAGGGGCCCAGGCCAGGAGCTGGGTCAGCAGGGTGGGAGGGAGCATGCACAGAGGTTCTGAGCTGCCAGGCCAGGGCCATGGGAGCAGGGAAGGCAGGGACTACAGCCTCTGCTAGGCCACTCTGCTGCAGCACATAGTGCCAACTCAGTAAAGAGAAGAGGGGTTGAATGGGATATATAGATGGTGGGGTGGTGGGGTGTTTTACGGGTAGCAGGACCCATCAAGCAGGCTGGAGGTAATCTGTGGGCCCCAATGGGGTATTAGAAGGGAATTCCACAAGGGCAGGTTGCTTTGTTGCATGCCCTGCTCTGTGCCCAGTACTTGGCACAGCGCCAAGCACCCACCCAGCTGGCTCTCAAATCTTTGCTGTGTGAGTAAAGGGCTGGGGAGAGAGAGATGGGGGAAGGAAGAAGACACCAAGAGCAGGGCCTCCAGAGGTAGTTCGGACCCTGGGAAAACCTGGGCCTAGACTTGGGTTCGCAAAAGGCCCAGAACACTCTGCTAGCTCTCTGGGAGCCTGGCAGGCTGGAGCTAGCAGGTCTTACCAGCCCCAAGCTCAGGGCAGCATCTAAGGTGGGGACCAGGCTCCATACCTGCCCATAGCCCCACACTGCCTTGTACTGTGAGGCCTAGAGCATAATGGGTGTTCAAAACACAGCTGGGGACAAACAAATGAGTAAAGAGGGAACCACAGAGCCCCAGACCACCCCCTCCACTCCCAAGCACTTCAACCCCTGAGTAACACAAGGTAGGAGCAGCCTAGCAGTAGCTTGAGCCCATATGCAATGGCTGCTCCTACAGGACACCACTAGAAACAAGAACCTTGGAAGAAAAGAAAGAAAAAGGACAGAAACAACTTTCTAGCCCTTTCCACAGGGAAAAACAACACAGAAGCCAGCCCCATAGATACCCCTCAGGTGACGCCTTGGCAGCCACAGCCTGGTGTAGTAGTAACTGCCCACACCACACCAGAGGTATCTGACCACCAGAATATGGCAGAAGTCAAGACATGACATGCCCTGAAGTTAGGTCACACAAAAGACTGGGGTACCTGGGTTGTGCACACTCACTCTCGCCCTCTCTCTCTTACATTACTCACTTTGGAATGTACAAACTACAGCGCTTTTAGGACACTCAGGCAGCCTGTACAAAGGGCCATCTCTCTAGCGAAAGCCAGCAAGGAAGTGAGATCAGCCAGCCACCACATGAGGTAGAGACTCCTGCCTCAGCTGAGTTTTCAGATGAGGCAGCCCTGGATGATGGCTTGACTACAGCCCCATGAGATAACTTGAGCTGGACCCATCCAGCCATGTCACTCCTGGGTACCCAACCCACTGGAACTGGGAACTTAGAGACATCCAACATGTTAAGTTGCTCAGTTTGGAAGTAACTTGTGACACAGTAATAGGCAACCAGTATCTAAGACGGTCCCTTTGCTCTCTGGGAAGGATGTTCCCTTGGTGGCACCCCACCCTTGATGCAACACAGAAAACATCGCTCCACGTCAAGCATGTGGTTGGGTAGTGGGTGCAAGGTGAGGACTTGGAACGTAGGCCTCCCACAATGAGGAGGAGGAGGCCGACTCACCTAGCTCGGTTGGTTTCAGCAATTCATCCAGCATATTAAAGAAGGGCAGTTTCACCAGGCGGACTTCTGGTTTAAGGGTCTTAGCAGGCAACCGTCCAAGTCCATTTAAGTACTTCCCGTAGAGCACGGGATAGTCAATATTAGGGCCTGATAGCGGAGTCCTGGGGACCGCACCAGCCCGGTCATAGGTGGAATGCATGGTCAGGGGGTCCAGAGGCCGGTGGGGCTGAGGGACAGGCTCCGAGTTCTTCTTGGCGTAGCGGGTCTCGTACAGCTCCTTGATCTTCTTGAACAGCTCGGGGCTACAGTCAAACTGGACCAGCTGCAGGGCCCTGGTGACGAGTTCGTGCTTCAGTCCACTTTTACTCCGGCCAACAAAACCCAAGAGCATCTGAAGGTCGGAGACTCGAAAACTCATCACCATGTTCTGGGGAAGAGTAACCACATACACATACTCTAAGAGGTTAGCCCTGCTGAAACCAGGGGCACTGCAGAGGCAGGAAGCCCCCCAGGCCCTGACCTAGGGGGGAAAAACACCCACTGGTCAGGAACCTGGCAGCCTCTTCTGGAGCCAAAGGCTTGCCCTGCCCCACCAACTTTCCCCAGCATTGTTAACACAACAAAAGCTCCTCTTAACTGCTCCCCTATCTTCTATTTTGGATTCCTTTTCCCTATCTTCAAGCCTAAAAGCATCCCCAGTATAAGAATCAGCAATCTGGCTTTACCCACAAAGAGTCTCTGCCCATGTCTACTTAGCAAACACTGACAGCCTCTCTGACCCTCAGTCTCATCAAAGAGGAAACACCACCTCATCAGAATTTTGGAGGGAGCAGATGAGGTGACTTACTCATGTAAAGCACCTGGCAGGGCCAGGGCTCAACCAGTGTCAGACCAGACGTCCCTTTGGTCTTGAGGATGATAGTCACAGTTTGCTTAATACTAACCACCTGCTAGGAGTTGAGCTGGATTTTCGATTACATATTTAACTCTGATCCTTAAAATGTCCCTGCTAGGTTGGGGAGCATTAGCTTGGGGAAGACACAAAGATTCAAACCCTGGCACCACTACTCCCTGGGCTGTGCAGGGTGCTGAGCAGTGTCCATGGCCTCCACCCACTCCAGGCAAGGAGCACACCCACCCCAGTCATGGCAATTAAAGGACATCTCCAGACATTACCCAGTGTCTTGGGGCAGGGGGCAAGCTCAGCCCTGGTTGAGACCCACTGTTCTGAAGGGAAGGTCTCAGGGATCCTGCTGCCGTAGAGGCTGTTAACAGCTGTGGCAAAGTGATGAATGAGGTCTAGCAGGGCTTGTCCATCTAGATCAGTGATTTTCAACTGGTGTGGCATAAGAGGATCTTAGGTGTGCTGGGAAAATTTTTAAAGATCACTAATCCAATTATTTTCAAAAGAAGTTCAAAACACAGTAAATACATTCTTTTTTGCTCTTTTTTTGATCAACATAATATACAGTAAATATATTCTTTTTTTACTCTTTTTGATCAATGTAATTTAAGTGTGCCACAGAAGTTTAACTATAGATTTAAGGGTGCCATGAGATAAAAAAGATTGAAAAACACTGATCTAGAACAAAACCTACAGAAGAGCCCAGCTGACTCTATGACCTACCTTCCTTGAAAGCCAGGACACTGAGGGGAGAGTTACTCCCCAACCAGCTAAATAAGCAAAGTGTCCTCCAGGGATGAGCTAGCAGGGTTTTGGGGGCTACTCAGAGAGTTCTGGAGCTGGCCTGGGATAAATGAAATGTGGTAGAAAAAAGAAACTCCAGGAGCAATGGAAAAAGAAAGCACAAGTGACCAGAACGAACATAGAAAGCAGGTGGGCACAGGGCAGGTGTGCACCCAAAGAAACCAATAAATCACTCAGACTCAACCTGAGTGTTGAAGACCAGCGCTCGTGGTCTTGAGGATGATAGTCCTGGTGGCAGCCGCACTTGGTGCCAGAAGGTTGGCTAAGGGTGAGGCTTTGGTCCTCTGGCAGCACACTGCCCAGCTCCCCACTGTGGGGCCACACCCAGGGCCTGCAGAAGGCAGAGAGGCTGCCCAGGCTCAGATGACAGACACCTGCCTATAGAGGAGCCTCTTCCCATTTCTGGACCTTACTCCTCCTCTTCTATAAAGCACTTGGTGGCCAGTGTCTACTTTGAGCCAGGTGCCAGAAGGGTCTTTACACATCACTAACCTCACAATGGCCACGCCCAACACATAGGTGAGGAAACTGAAGCTCAGAGGGATGCAGCTGACCCTAAGCCCCCAAGTAGAAGTGTAGGGCTGGCATTCAGACCCATGTCCTTCAGACTCTTAAAGATGTTTCCTTCTATTCATACCCAGCCGTGGGGGACAGAGCGGGGGGTGTGGGAGACCCTCACTCACCAGCACACCAGCTATCCAGGAACCTACGTGGTCTGTTGGCCCTCAGAGAGGCTGGGATGCTTTGAAAACAAAATGCCTCATCTCCCTTGGGCCAACTTCCTACCTTGTGTGGAAAACAAAAAGGCTTGCAGACAAGATGTTTCTTCTGGAAGAGACCCAAGCCCTTAGAAGGGAGGGGCAGTGTCATGGGGAAGCTTAACACTGGCAACTGAGCCAGAGGCAGGTGGGTTCAGCAAACCTACTGATGTCATCCTGCCCCAGGAGCTCCTGCCCCACTGAGGATGAGCCTCTCCAACCAGGCAGGACATCCGGAGGTAAGGCTCCTGCATCCCAGAGCACACCCCCTGGGCTGCCATATGTTCACGACTCAGATTTCTCTACAGCTGCCACCAAGGAGGAGCCTGCCCTTGACACTGGGTGTGGGGGGAGATCATGAAGGGGTACAAACATTCAGGAAGAAGCCCCAAACACTCCAAAGATCATTTCCTGCCCTGGTTTCATCCTGACCTGCCTGCCATCAGAACTGTGTTTATAAACTGTGCCAGGCCCCCTTAGCTTCCAGAGCTGAGTCTCAACTCCAAGCTTGTTTGGAAGTCGTATGGGAAAACATCAGCTTGGACAGAGCAGCTGCACCAAATTGGGCTCGGACTCCTGAGACCACAGGAAGTCTCCTCTCTCCAGGAAAATGGAGATGTGTGCAAACTAATCTGTACTATTCTCAGGACACCCCTAGACCCAAAATTCAAATCTAGTTCCTCAAGAATCTCAGATATCCTATTTGGGAGTCTGAGGCAAGAGAATCGCTTAAGCCCAAGAGTTGGAGGTTGCTGTGAAGCCATGGCATTCTACTGAGGGCGACATAGTGAGACTTCATCTCAAAAAAACACAACAAACAAAAATCTCAGATATCAAAGTTTATGAACAAGCCCCCCTAACCAGCCCACTGTGCACCCTCAAAGACAAAAATCTATGGCTGTTAGTACGACAAATTGAGGAAAAGTCCCGAAAAAAATGGGGGGGGATTTCAATGACATTTAAGGCACTCTGAGGTGGCAGCAAGGGACTTAAGGAAGAAGGGGGCTCCCTAGGTTCTGGGAAGTTGTGGTGCAGGCCCCAGTCCCACTGAATGGGCTGTGGTTTAGAAAACTTGAAAGAAGGGTCAACTTGATATAATTGGGGTGTGGTGGGGCCCAGCTACCAGAAGGTCAAGTAGAGTTCATCAGATCATATTTCAAGACCCTGGATAGTATAAAAAGAGTGCAGACCTCACCAGAGGCTTGGGTGGGGGTGGGGTCTACAGACCTGAGGTTACATTTCAAGGCTCTAGGGGACTTGAAGCTTGGAGACTGCCCTCTTGGGTTTGCACAGTTCATACTTACACACCTACCAGGCAAGTCTCCATTTTTTTCAAAACCCTAGAGAGGACCAAAAGTATATGAGATGTAGATTTAGGACAGGGGAATAAGATATATCCTATAATCACAGAACCCTGAGGCTGCATTTCAGATCCTAGCAGGGAAAAAATGGGCAATATAAGAAGGGAGGAGCAAGAAAAAAAAACAACACAGGTCAGAACATCAGGAAAAGAAGACCAGAGGGGGATGGGGATCCCCTATCTCCTCAGTAGAAGTGGTCTTCAGTGCATTTCTAAGAGTCCCTCATCTCCAAGGAGGCACCTGGGAGAAGGTACATCCCTGGGAGGGGTACACTCTGAGTTCAGGCCCTAGTGAGTTAAAAGGGGCCCCAAGCTAGGACAGAGTACAGTATATAAGGGACCTGGAACTTGGAACAGGATCCAGAGCAGCAGCAGGAGTTATCCTAAAGAAAGAGGCCTACTCTGGACCCAGCAGGGACCCTCTAAGGATCAATATAACAGGAAGAAAAGGAGAAGCTAGGAAGCCAGAGATAGAGGCATAAAGTTTCTGGGGACTGTGAAGAGAAGGGTCTGATCTAAGTAGAATCACTAGGGAGTAACAGCCAAGGCTTGAAGATAAGATGTGATCCTCCAAGTGTGAGGCTTAGAAACTCCAGAGGCACACTCAAAAAGGTAACAGATTCTGTCTGCCGGGAAACTGAAGAAAAGAAGAGCAGAGCCCAGAACCTGGCACTGAAAAAGGAGAGTAAGATCAAGGAGAGGGGGTAGGGCAAAGGGTAGGCCCAACGTTAGTGTAGTGCCCACTGCAGGGGGCGAGGCTCTAGGACCAAGGCCAGAAATAAAGAGAGGCTCCAAACCCTGCCTGAGGACGTACTGTGTTTTGGGGGTGGTTCAGGACTCTGGCTCATCAACCCGGACGGTGGCAGAACACTACCGGGAGTCAGGTAACCCTTCGGGCAACGGAGTCACAAACCCCACGGTAGCCTGCTGGGCGGAGAAGACAAGACCCAAATACTGGCCCCTGGTGCCCCGGGGGCGGGGAGGCGTAGACACTCCCCTCGACCAAAGAGCACTGACACCAGCTCGGAACGAAGAGGGGAAGAAGCCTAACCCGCCCTACTATCCAGGGAGACTGTGCCTCAAGATGGAAGGAGCGGCCCAGTTCCAGTGCTTGGGCACCTGGACTCTCACCGCTCGGGTGGGGTGGGAAACGTTCCTCAAGCCGGGGGATCGGCCTTCGGCGCGAAGACCAGCATGAGGTTTGGGGGGCCCCGCCCCCGGCCTCCCCGCCCCCCGCCCGCAACCTGAGCCCCGGGGGCGGGGGCTGGGGGCCCGGGCAGCGAGCCGCTGGCTGGCCGTGCCGTAAGTCCCTGGGCAGAAGGCGCAGGCCCCAGCCCGCAGTCCGGCCCCTACCCCTTCGCCCGCCCTGGCCGGCGCCGCCGCCGATTACTCACTTTAGCCTCCACCAGCTCCGCCGCCATCTTGGCCACCAGCGTCCCCCGCGCCGGGAGCCCCCAGCCGTCGCGTCACGTGACCGCCCGCCACTCGCGGGCGGGGCCGCCACTCAGGCCAATTAGCACCGGCGCAGGCTCCTCCCTCCAACGGCGCGCGCAGCTGCCTACGGCGCAGGCGCACGAGTACGCCGCCCGGGACTCACGCCAATCAGAGACGCCTAACTCCGGCTCTACCCTGTTCCCCTTTCGCTCGCGGCGGCCACACCCACCCCTGGCGGCCGTCTGGCTTCTTAAAGGGGAAGGAGCGCCGCACAAATCCCCGCAGCTGCTGGGTCGCGTCTGGGGAGGAGACGAAGGAGGGGGCGTTGGCTGTGGCAGCGACAACAATGCCATCAGGTGTCTCCACTGGCCACGCGCGGAGGCCGCCAGGTGCGTGCCCAGACTCCCACTGGCGTCGAGGGAAGGGACGGTTGTTCAAATGCAGCGGCTGCCTCGGTGCGCGCTCTGCGGGCTTGTTGTCCTGGGCGGCACATCCGGGTCCTGGCGCGCAGAGATGGGCAGGCCCCGCTCCCGGCAGGCTAGATGGAGGCGGAAGAACTGGACCCAGCTTTCAAATTCCCCAGAGTTGGCTTGGCGCCTGTGGCTCAAGGGGCTAAGGCGCTAGCCACATAAACGGTTCGAATCCAGCCCGGCTCGCCAAACAACAATGACAGCTGCAACTAAAAAAAAAAAAAAAAAAATTGCCGGGCGTTGTGGTGGGCGCCTGTAGTCCCAGCTACTTGGGAGGCGGAGGCAGGAGACTCGCTTCAGTCCAGGAGTTGGAGGTTGCTATAAGCTGGGATTCCACTGCACTCTACCCAGGGCAACAGCTTGAGGCTCTGCCTCAAAAAAAAAAAAAAAAATTCCCCAGAGTTCGTGCGGCTAGCGTCTTTGCAGGCGATCCTGCCCAGTCCCGCCTCCCCACTCGCCATAAACCCTGGGACTATGTCCGGATCTGGACCTCTCTTTCTCTAAAGCCCTCCTTGGCTCCCTAGTGCTATCGAGAGGCAGAACTCAAACCTTCTGGAGTCAAAAGCAGATGAGAGGACAACCTGAACGATCTAAAGCCTATCCCCTGAGATTATAATTCTCAGGGCAGGAATTGGGCAAAAATGTAATGGGGGGGTCCCCAAAACAAAAGTAAATACAGTAGTCTTTGTATTTATTTATTTATTTATTTAGAGACAGTCTCACTTTATTGCCTTTGGTAGAGTGCTGTGGCATCATAGCTCACAGCAACCTCAAACTCTTGAGCTCAAGTGATCCTTCTTGCCTCAGCTTCCTGAGTAGCTGGGATTACAGGCACCCCCCACAACGCTGGGCTATTTTTAGAGATGGGGGTCTGGCTCTGGCTCGTCTTGAACCTGTGAACTCAGGCAATCCACTTGCCTCAGCTTCCCAAAGTGCTGGGATTACACAGTGAGCCACCACCCACTAGCCCTTTGCCCAGGTTTTATTTATTAATTTTTTTTTCTGTTTTTGTTGTTGCTCTTGTGTTTGTTTGCTTTAGCAAAGACTGATCTCCCTCTTGCACAGGCTGGTCGTGAACTCCTGAGCTCAAGAGATCCTCCTGCCTAAGCCTCCCAGAGTGCTAGGATTATAGGCATAAACCACTGCTCCCAACCAAGAGAGAGCCTTTCTTTCTTTTTTTTTTTTGAGATGGAGCCTCAAGCTGTTGCCCTAGGTAGAGTGTCATGGCGTCACAGTTCATAGCACCCTCCAACTCTTGGGCTTAATCCATTCTCTTGCCTCAGCCTTCCAAGTAGCTAGGACTATAGGTGTCTACTGCAACACCTGGTTATTTTTTGGTTGTAGTTGTTTGGCAGGCCCAGTCTCTGGGGTATGTGGCTGGAGCCTTAGCCACTTGAGTACAGATGCCGAGCCCAAGGGAAAGCCTTTCTTAAAAAACAAAAAAAATACAATCTCCCTCTGTCACCCAGGCTGGAGTGCAGTGGTGTGATCTCAGCTCACCACAATCTCAAATTCCTGGGCTCAAGTGATCCTGCCTCAGCCCCCCAAATAGCTGGAACTACATGCATAGGCCACTACACCTGGCTAATTTTTCCTTTTCCTTTTTTTTTTTTGCTGTAAAAATAGTAAGTTTGTTAAAAAAGAAGTAATGTATTTGAAAAGTAACTTTCACCTATGATTTTCAAATAATTTGCATACTTCATTTTGTTCATCTATACAGCAGAAACATTGGAAATGAAGAAACAGAACATACACGTTTTTATACATTCAATACTATGTCTTTTTTTTTCCCCTCTCTATTCTTTTTTCTTCTTCCTTCTTTCCTTTATTTTCTTTTTCTTTTAAACCTGAGATCTTGGCTGGGCATGGTGGCTCATGCCTCTGATCCTAGCAATCTGGGAGGCTGAGGTAGGTGGATTTCCTGAGCTCACAGTTGAAGACTCCATCTCTAAAAATAGCCCAGTGTTGTGGCGGGAGCCTCAGAGGCTGAGGCAAGAGAATTGCTTGGGCCCAGGAGTTTTAGGTTGCTGTGAACTATGATGCCATGGCACTCTATCAAGGGTGACAGAGTGAGACTAATAAATAAATAAGCAAACAAACATGAGATCTTGCTATGTTGCCCAGGCTGCACTGGTTTTAAATTCCTGACCTCAAGCAATTCTCCTACTTGGCCTCCCAAAGTGCTGGGAATATAGGCATAAGCCACCATGCAGCCCCAATCAAATATTTCAGTGCAGACTGAGTGGCTCATGCCTGTAATCCTAGCACTTGGGAGGCCAAGGCAGGTGGATTGCCTAAGCTACTGGTTCGAGACAAGCCTGAGCCAGAGTGAGATCTCATCTCTAACCAAAAAAATAGCCAGGAGTTGTGGCAGGAGCCTGTAGCCCCAGCTACTTGAAGACTGTGGCAAGAGAATCGTTTGAGCCCAGTAGTTTGAGGTTTTTGTGAGCTGTGATGCCACGGTACTCTACTGAAGGCAACAAAGTAAGACTCTGTCTCAAAAAACAAACAAATATTTCAGTGCAATATTTTATTTATTTATTTTTTGAGATAGAGTGCCACTATGTCGCTCTTGGTAGAATGCCATGGCATCACAGCTCACAGCAACCTCAAACTCTTGGGCTCAAGCAATTCTCTTGCCTCAACCTCCCAGGTAGCTGGGACTACCGGCACCTGCCAAAATGTCTGACTATTTTTTTTTCTTGTTGTTGTTGCAGTTGTCATTGTTGTTTGGCTGGCCCAGGCCCGGTTCGAACCCACCACCCTCTGTGCATGTGGCTGTACCGTAACCACTGTGCTATGGGCACCAAGCCTATTATTTATTTTTT